TTAATGATCAAGTGGTCTTGAATGAGCTGTCTATTGATGAAGAAGCCGAAGATAGTTTAGCTGCTAGATTAGCTAGAATAGACAGTTACGATTTGDATAATGAATACGTAAATAATAACATGAAAATTGAAAGGAAACTTGAATTCGATAATTCTTTTCAAGATTCAGAAAATAATTTACAATTTAATAATAAGCAATTACTTTCATCTACTGTAACTAACGAAGAAGATAATATTCTTCTAAATCATAAAACATGCAAACAATTTAACAAAAATGCTTCTTCACCTAAGAATCAAAACATATTAAATATGTCATTAGAGGAATCTCCAAAAAATAAAACTAATAGGAGAACTCTTAGAAACAGAACCATTGTAACGGAAAACTCTACAAACAGAATGTCTACAAGAAGTAGAAAAAGTAATAWTAAAGTAAGTTGCAATTGAATTTCTTTATGATGCAATATATCAGTATGCTTTTTTTTTTTAAAGGCTTATTTAACAAATAATTAATTTAGGATTTAATTGATGAAAAGGATGAAAATAATCAAAAGGAAAAGAAGAGTCCTCTAAAATCAAAAAAAAAATCACGAAAGAAGTCAATTAATGTTGAAGAAAAGGAAGTTAATGTAAAAAAAGGAATCTATGTCACACCAGTAAATGCAAAAAAAGAGCTAAGAAGATCCTCTCGAAAAAGTGTGAAGTTTAATGGTAAAAATAAAATAATAATATGATTTTAAATAACAACTAATGTATTGTTCACAAAATAATAACAATAACTTTTCTTAGCTGAAGATTGCGAAGCCTGTGAAGAAAGTAAATTCACTCTTCCAATGACACCGTATATTAGATGTAGCAAAGTTAGATTGAGCTTCTTACAAGATAATAATACACCTATAAAACCTCCTTCACCCAATAGAGATTTGATTTCATGGGATACTCCAAAAAATAAGTAATAAGTTAAATTATTGATTATTAAATACATATACTTAATAATTGTGTAATAATTTCCGCTCCGGTTAGAGTAGTAAAAAGATCCACGAGAAATTTCACTAAACATGTACTTTAATAATCAGTATTGTATAACTTTTGTACATATACTCTTTTACTTATAGACTTACATATACTCTTTTACTTATAGACTTACATTAAACTTTTACTTATAGACTTACATTAAACTTTTACTTATAGACTTACATTAAACTTTTACTTATAGACTTACATTAAACTTTTATTTATCAATAATATAATTTTTTATAAATTTATGTACACACTTAACTTTAACTTATTACTTATTAACTTTTCAGTTTCTTTGCCTAGTGTTTCTTTTGCATAAAAAATCAAAATTACATTGAAAATATGTTATTAAAAATTATCATCTTCAATTAAATGTATGGTTTWACATTCATTGTTTTTAACAAAACTTATTTTTGGTGATAATAAAAGTAAAATATATATTTTTAGTCATTTCTATAATAATGTATAAAAATAATATATAATGTACAAATATATCATTAAGTATATTGCTATTGAATCTATAAATTAAAGGCATTTGTATTTAGTGTAATGAATTAATTGAACCACCATAATCTTACGCTGTTATCTCTATTTACCCCTTCAATATCATAAATTCTTTGTCCTGAACTTGTTGCAACAATCGGAAAACTTTTATGTACATTCACACCATTCACGCTATCATTTGATATTTTAAATTCATATTTTGGATTCTCAATTTCATTATCATTTTTACCTTCTAATAATTCCCAAATATTAATTTTTCCGTCTACACCTCCTATACAGAAAAGGTGGGAATAGTTTTTTAATTTTTTTAATATATCTCGAAAAGTAAGGGAGATAAAATATTTTAGTACTGGACCTTTTTTGTAGCAAATAAAATTGTCTAC